GGAGCTCGCTGACCTTTCGGACGCGGAGACAGGCCGCCATAAACAGATTTAGCCAGTCTCAAAGTCAAAAGTGCTCAAGAGCAGTGAAAGACCTATTGTAAAAAAGCTGCAAAGCCAACCGAGATGTCTTCCTGTTTTACAATCCAAATATCTGCTGGTTTTCCGCAAAGGCTTCTCTTACGTTGATTGAAATGTCCTCTTATACCCAGCAAACAAAATTAAACTGCATAAGAATACACAGGCAAACAGATGCAAACTAATACGAGCTGTTTTTGAGGTCATGTGGTTTACTTTTGAGGAGAAGGGCAGGCAAAGAAGGAACACAGCGCACCTTTTAGTGGTTTGTTGTGCGTAAAAGCTCTAAACACTGTTACGCACAAGATTATTTCAAGCTCAACAGTGGGTGGAAATACCTGAACAAACAGACAGACAGACAGCAGAGAAAAGTCACACATAGCACCAACAGATTCGTCTGGTTTGAAGTTCAAGTTAAAACAACATGTTCACGTATCCGTTTTGCACAGTTCAAAGAGCAGACTGCCCCGCAATTAAGTCCAAATAACCGCATCGTTTTACACAGGAATCACCAAACTGCTCTGCAAACACAAACCCCTGTTTGCATCATTTCATCTTGGTGGCAAACCCGATTCATGCTGTGCTAAATGTTGTGAGTCCTTTTAAAGCTTAGACAATATTTATTTGTCTTTTAACAAATTATGCAAATTGTCGCTGCAGTAAATTTCAGTTAACAATTTCCTCTGTTAATGAACACCAATCTACTGTAATACCTCTCTAATCAGGGTTCACAGTGAATATCCTTTTTTTCCCCTCCTTACTCTCTTTTCAGTGTCGCCCTTCAAACATCTTAACAAGCAAGTATAAAGCTGGTAATGTAAGTAAATGAGCCCAATTAAGCTATTACAAATGTTACTGTTTACATTTCAACTGCGCAGCCGCGGTGATCATTTTCTGACGATTTTTTTCACTTTCACAGGAAATTTTGACATAATCTACCCTGGGAATTCGTTTTGGTTGAGTTTAAATAATGAGTGGAGTATTACAGGACATAGAGGAGCGTCATCTGTTATCATTATAATTATTCTCCTTTTAGTCATTAAACAAGCCAGCTCACAAACATATATGCCCGTTCATGGTCAATAGCGCGTTTGATCGGCCAAAAACAGAAGAGTTACCATAAAAGATGCCCTCTGGTAGATCAAAATTAACACACGCCAATTGAGATCTCACCAATATATTTCATAAGCTTGATGGCTTACATATTGCAGAAATACATTTCGCACTCATGGGTATGAATTGCACAAGGTGTTGATACGGATATATGAAAGTCCAAGCGTGAAAAAAGCTCCACATCGAAACATGAGACTTGTTTTTTTCCTTTATATATGTCGGATATTATTTATGTCCAGATGCTAGCATGTTCTCTAATATCCATGTTTAAATTCTGGGCAGTCATTCAAATGAAATGACACTCACACCAGCTTTAATCAGATGCGCAAAAGTGCATGGAGAGCAATTTTTGAAAACATAAAACAAGCGGATGTCATAAATAAACATAGATTTAAGTAGATGAATCTGGTGTGTATGAAACAATTCGAGTTAATTTAATTGTTTGTCTATGATGTAAGAAATTAAATTTTAGAAAACTTTTTAAATTATTTATAATATTTTGACACTGACGCATTGTGACATGATCGAATATACAAGCGCGTAAAGCTCCACGCTTTTTGTCATGGAGAGTGTAACACGTTCAGTTCATAAACTAGGCAAATACGTATAATTCTATGGATGATAAAGGGGGAAAAAGAAAATAAATCCCATAATGAGAGGTCAGTGTTTGCAGAAAAAGGGCCTCTGTTTGGCATCATTACAGTGTGACTTCAATATGACAGACTCCAGCACTGCAGTGAGACTTTTGCCATGTAAACGCCGTGAATGAATGGATCTCTGCAGTGGCACTAAATCTTAAAGGTTTTCTCTAAAATAAAAAAAAAGCTACATGCTAAATCCGGTTGGTAATGTGATACGCCGAGGTTTGTGTTCTGCCTTGTGGTACCGTCTCCCTCCACATTTGTATTTTTGTTGTGTTCATGGTCATTGGGATCTGAGAAGGCCGCTCAGAAGCTCGGAGCGGCCTAACACAGTTCATTGAAAAAGCAACATGTGATCTCAACATTGAAAAACCGCACAACAGTTTCCCTACATCACATAATAAAGGGTGTGCGCTACTGCAAAAGCATCAAGGTTCAGTTAGTTCGCTGATAGGACAACGCTGCAGCATACATGCAGTTCTGCATTGCTGTGCACTACCAGTAGGGAGAGCTTTGAGGATGTTTGACATAAGTTTATTATAAAACCATCTTTGTCCTTTGTAGGGATGGAATCTCCTTTATTCCGATCTGTGGGCATATTTTATATATATTTACAACGCGCTTAAATCCCTAATCCAAACCAGAGGAGAGGATGTATTGGGAACAGGACTAGCCAAGAGGCTCCACTATATGGAGCACTGGGGTGTAACCCTATTACCGCTTTACAGAGCTGTTGCGTGTTTAGCTGCACCGTTATAGGCTTGTAGCACCGGTGACATGATTAGGGTGAACTTCAAGGGAAAAGAGAAAGGTTGACGAAATACGAGGACAGAGAGTTTTGTTTCAAAACAATGCGTTTGTTGCAAAGCTGTTAAAATATAGTATAAAATAAGAAGGATATTCAATAAGGGGTTAAAGAGCAGCATCTGGCCGCCATTTTGCATGGAGAGCTACCTATAGTCTACCTTTGCAGCCATAACAACATATGGCCAACCTGTGTGGGCTCCTATTGATAATACTTCACAGCATGTCCGGACATGTGCCAACAAAACACCCTCTCAAATTCGACCTAATGCCTCATCAATGTTCAGATCTTTATTTCATTGCAGCGCACACACACACGCACGTATTTAAAGTGTGCTACAGGACACGTCCAATAAAATAATCCCTGCAGTCCCAGAGAAAGAAAAGCTCGATTTTAAAGCAAAGCATTCAGGGAGGCGACCCAATGACACACTGAGGTTACACCAATAAACGTTTCAGTATTCTGTTTATTGAAGACCTTACGCATATACATTCATATCATTATAACTTTTACAAGACAACGGAGCAATCCTTACAAGCGCAAAGAAGGGAATGCGATGAGGGGACGAAAAGAAAATAACAAACAACTATTACACAGAAACAGATATTCTTTAAATTGTCATGTTTTGGTACATTTTCTTGCATACCATTTCATGAATCCATTCTTGGCAGTATAATATAATAGGCCTACACTTCCAGCCCCTCGAAACGCAGGTATATAGGCTATATGGAATGCGATATTGTTGTACACGACGATCAATAACGTAAAAACACTTTTACATAGCGAGAAGGTATCCTCAAACAGGATGCGAATAGTAACATATATGTAATTTCATTTTACAAAGTTATACACGAGTACAGGGTAAGGAGAGGGACAACACTGAGCACGTTGCAAAGAGCAAGTACATAACGTAGGCCTGGCGGGCCCTCCGTCCTTTTACTATAATAATAATAATAATAATAATAATAATAATAATAATAATAATAATACATTCTCTGGAGACGTTTGCTTTGAAAACGCGTGGTTGGTTTTTGCTCGTGATTTGTTCAGAAAAAAATGTACAATGTACAAAAAAGTCACCTACAGAAATAGTGGCCCGCAAACATGACTTCTAGCTATTTCACATCAACAACATGCTGCAAAGACATTTCACTGCTATAGCTTACTCATAATACATGACAGATGATGCACTGCGTCCCCCCCTCTCTTCTCAGGGAGATTATTTACTCTTTCTAAATTTCTACATATTTCGTTTTCATCTGAGAAATGCTCTTCCAGGCCTGAAAACCCAACAGCCCCTCTCCGTTCACTCCAGGCGCCCTCTTTTTGAACCAAAGTGGCCCCAGAATGCATTGAATACTTGAGTGTTTTCTTTAAAGAAACTAAACGAGATTATTTTAGATTATTTCCCCCCTAGCTGGAGACATCTGGACGTGAAAGTTTAGCAGCTCGAACCCGTATCAAAACGGTGATTTCACCCCATCGGAGAAGAAACGCAACCCCTGTAGAATTCTGTGATGTTGTTCAGACAAGTCGAAAGGTGATTAAATGACGAAAATACCCTCCAAAACCCGTGTGCACAGAAACACAGTCGTTGTGAATAAGTTTTCCACGCGCAGTCTTATTAAGGATATGGATTACACTGCGGGTTTCGTTTCCCCCTCTCTCCTCATGCAGACTCCCAGACTTCCAGACTTCCTGCCCGTGACCGTGAACGTGCCACAACGCCTGGCGAAAACTAAAGAAGATAAAACAAACACAATGTTTCTCTGACTGAACAAGACACAGCTGTGGAAGTGTTTATCAGCTGGGAGTGAAGATTTCCCTTATCAGATCTCAGCGATATGATTGCGCGGATGCAGCTCCGGGGTTTTTCTGACTGTCTGCCTTCAATGTTATTTTTAGATCTATTTTTTTGACATACTATCAAGTGGCCCCGCTCCCTCCTCGTTTTCTCCGACTAAAAATGGAACAAAAAAGGATGTTGACATTATGCGTCATCCTAAATCGAGTAATTTGCCCGAGCGACATATTACGCAAGGCTCTCAGTTGGAGCAAAGACTGATCCCTTGATAAATCTGAATAAACAAGAGACACAGAAAATATACTCTCACAGTTTTTGTGCGATTATACCAAAAACATGAAGGTAGGCTTATAGACATGGAAATATAGAGCTTTGAATGCCAGCTAGTGGTATTCTTTGGGCATGTGTCGCCCGCACCTTTGAAAAAAGATAAGAAAATATGTGGACAATTGCCTGCAATGTAAAAGATGGATAGATGGGTGCATGCATTGAAAGAAAACCTAGGGAGCGTAGAAGGCTTGGCTTTTTTTTACTGCCTATCGATTCACCTTCTGCCGCATCTCTAAAAGTAGGCCAAAGCTTGCTCCCTCAGCATGAGTCTCTTCTTCTTCATCCTGCGGTTCTGGAACCAGATCTTGACTTGTTGGTCGCTGAGGTTCAAACGGTCGGAGAGCTCCCTCCGCCGCTGTCTGGTGATGAATTCATTCATCATGAATTCACCCTCGAGCTCAGCCAGCTGCAGTTTGGAGTACGGCTTGCGCTTCTTTCTGGTCCGGGTGTGCATCGGGTACCACGGGGCAGCTGGAGGAGAAGGGGGAGGAGATGAGGAGGAGAGGAGGGGGGCATACAGCGGATTAGTCACCACAGTTGCAAAATCACGGTCAAATCCAAGGTTATGAGGAGGCTACAGGGGCGTCAGGGGTCCAAGGCACGCTTTAGTGTTTACCGTGGAAGCTGCATGAGGAGTAAACTTATTATCCACTCAAGCTTCATTTTGAAGATGTTTCTAACTAAAAGATACATTCATCAAAATAAAAAATACAGAACCCTAGTCTAAAAAACCCTTTCTGCTGCCGGGCACATGCAGTCTCAGAGTCATTTCTGAGTTCTGCAAAACATCCCTGATACTAAAACCTCCTCCAATAAGATTTAAAGACATAAATCCCCGTACAAGCTGTCACTTTCCACACAGCCAAACTGGATCTGTTTTGATCTGTGTACTGAAGGCTCAGGCAGTCCAGTCTTGTAGAATTCACCCCAAACCTCTCATTTTTATCAACCCATGGAGCAGGGGTGTTTATTTTTGCTTATTTCCAAACCCCTTTCTTTAAGGACCAACAATGTCCAGCGGTTTGTGTCACATGAACTTTTACAGTCGCTGTTAAAACGTGATAATTAAGACGTGGGTGAAAATGCCTCTTCTTATTTGCGACTTTCAAAGCATATTAAATGACTCTTGAGTACACAGCGTCAGATATTAATTCTGTTTACGAGTCATTAAAAAGGAAAACTCTCTATCTGATGCAGCCAACCAAGGCGCCTCGTCTCTTTAAATCAATGCTCTAGTTTGTCAGATCAGACCAAACTGAATACAGGAAAACTTGCACGTATTGTCAAAGGGGTTCGTTGAAATGTTGCAAAGGTTGATCTTTTATTCAGGTTGGGTTGGCAGTCCGGTTTGGTGAGGTTATCTGCAAACTGTACACAACCACATGGCGCTTGAGGTATTTTAGGGCAACCCCTAGCGGCGTTTGCGCAACACGCAAGCACCCTGCAGGCTAATGAAGGCTGCAAGTTGTGCATCAAGATAACGAGCTCTAATGACGCTGTAATACCACCGGTGTACGCTATACGTGCAGCCCCCCTCTTCCACTAATCTGAGAGTGTGTTTCTAATAATTGTGATGTGGGAAAAAATGGCACTCACCTCCGCCAACGGCTATGTTGCTCGCATGGCTCCCCGGTGACACCAGGGTCTGTGTGTCGCTGGATGAGGGCTTGCTGCCCTCGTTGAGCAGCGAGGAACTGGAGTCGGACTCCATTGACTGACAGGATGGCGGGTCTTGCGTTAGCTGCTCGCTTCCATAATCATATTTGGAGAAGGCGGCCGTGCTGCCAATCCCAGCGTGCATCCCGTGGTCAGATGTTAATGATGATGTGTCTCTCGCCCTGTCCTCTCGTTTGAGGCTGCTGCTGCCACCTGAGCAGGTCTCCCTGCTGCCGCTGCCGTTGTTATAGTAACATTTGCCCTCTTCTGGTCTGCTAATTTCACACGAGCGGTTGAAAGAGGGGTTAATAGACACGGGGCTGCTAAAGTAGGATTGAGAGTATCCATTGCACGGCTCCGAAGGATTCCACGGGAGGGAGCAAACATTGTCCCTTCTCGGGTAGGAGAGAGACGGTAGCCCCGCCAGTTGTCCCCCTGAAGCTCGAAAATTCGGGAAGTAAAACGTGTCTCCAGTGTGGATGTTTACCAAAGGTCCCACAAACCCTGGATTAAGGAGATTATGCTCGCCCATTTCCGCGGGCCCGACCAACAGCTTCTAGTTTATTGCAATCTGACATTTAACATAGTTAAACCTGGAGGGGCGCCTGATTGGTCAGCCCCTTACCACGTGTCCAGGCTAACTTCTGCTACACATAGTACCACCCACTCGGTCCCTCTCAGACAAAACAAAACATTAACTTCTGTATCACAGAGGTTTATATGCTTTTTAAAAATACTATAAAGCTTTTTATTAAAAATGTAGAATCTTGTTTTTCCTCACTTGAGTCCTGCTGAGTCCAAAAGGAGCCTGGCCTGCCTCTCCTCTTACACTGCTGGAACTGTCCATGGCCTCGTTTATTCTCTTTATAAGCTGGCCAAAGTTTTTTAAATGCTTTTTTCTCTTATGAAAACTATTTTTCTTGCCGGAGAAGAAGGTGCATGTGACATCTTGTTTTCTATCAAATTATGGTTGAATTTCATGTCATATAAAGCTGTGATGTCCCTATTTTACAAGCTTGTTTTAAGAAAAGACTGATGCTCATTGCCGCACTCTGCTCATATTTACAGTAACGGGGTCAGCAGGTTGAAGCCAGTGGCTCTGTAAAACAGGACGATATTCTACAAGGTTACTTTAAGAGGGTATATTTCACGTTATATTCTCTAGTACACCTCACATGAACAACTTTAACAGATACCTCCAATAAACGTTCGCAGCCAAACTCTGCTGGGATTGTTATACCTCTCACAATTCTTTTATATGAATTTTACAAGATATCAGAGGCCACTTAACTGATCCGAGCAGCTGAGAGGCTCTGCTTTATCTCGTGCTAATTAGTTGATTTGTGGGAGCAACTCTGAAGACTCTGAGCAAATATGAGACGTCACACAGCACTAAAATTTCACTCATGACAAAAAAACATGTGGATAGTTTTTTATCACTGGAGTAAACAGATTGCAGAGATTCCACACAGTCAACTTTCTCTGCAGAAAACTTCGCCCTCAGATGAGCAGGGATCGGGCAGTCGGCCAAAAACTGCAAGGCGCAAGAATTCCTGTTATACCCTCCAAAACTTCTTCAACATAATCTAATAAATGGGATGTGAATTCTGCGAACTTCTCAGAATTCATGTTAATAGATAAGAAAGACAAAATGTTCAGGTCAGCCTGTAATTTTAGAAAAGTATCCGCCCGGAAACAGCAAGTCTTTCCAAATAAATCCAAATTATACAATTATCCCACTTTCAACTTGTTATATAAAAAGAAAAACTTGAAATAGATTTTAAAAAATGAGATTATCTCCGCTTTTTGTGAGCGCTTTTATCTCAATTATAGAAACACAAAGAGGAGTCAGATTAATTCAAGAAAGAAACTGACTCTAAAAGTACATTAAAGTAATTTCAGATATTATCTAAAAGTTTTAAAGATTAATGAGAATAAAAAAGTGGAAGGAGAGAAACAAATACAACCACACATATACATGCATACACACATACACACGCACACACACATACACACACACACACACACATTTGTGGCCGTCAATACACTCAAGTTCAGGAAGCAGTCACGGTGCGTTGAACTTGATGTTGAACTCAAATACAGAATCTGTATGAAGAAAACTACTCCAATGAAAATATCCTTAAAAACACTGAAAACACACAAATCTTTCAGATAGTTTAAATCACACAGAAAAGTCCAACTCTAAGCAATAACGTGAATATGAGAAGCGCTGATGGTCTCTGACTCTTAAAACTCACTCTTACATATTCCTCAATGCTCTCCAGAAAACTCAATTATCAATATGCTGCAGAAAACATAAAAAAATCCCTGTATTTAAAATCACAGGATTGATAACAAAAAAGGACCAGGTTACAGCATCTTGCACATGCGTGCTGAGAGGCAATACTTGCGTGCAACCAAATTGCCAATAAGGTGATATGTGAGACATCAGCATTCAGTTAAACATTGGTTTGGGAACGATTTGCAAGTCAGCCGACATTTGATAGCTGTATCCGTCACTGGTGAGCGTGTAGCTTATCTTGACTAACCCACAGACAGGCAGGCAGGCAGGCAGGCAGCGGGCCTGGCTCAGCCTTAAATAGAAAGAAAAAAGATCGAATGTTTAAAGTAGAGGAGCTGCAGGAGACCCGCTGTGGTTTCACTCTGCCCCTCAAACCCTCTGCCTCTCATATCTCTCCACATTCTTGCATCTAGTTAGTGAGTCGAGCAATGCAGCACAACATCAATCCCATATAATAATATCATGAGGCTGCCTCTCCCTGCATGGGTGGAGCACTAGGCTGTCTTCGTATATCTCTTCTTGTGTGTTGTTGTCATTATTATTATTACAACATTATGACAAGCAAAAGCATAACAGTGCGGTGTTATGTTTACTGCATAATGGCCCGGATGGCCGTGCGGAGTTAAACTTGTACAGGCTGAAGTCTCCACTTTACCTCGGGAGAGGCCATGTGTTGCGCCTCCTCGCCTCCTCGTCTCTCCACGCCTCTGTTCCTGAATCTCCCACAGATCCGCATTTCACATTCAAACAACTGCTCGCCTGTTCAGTGCATCTCCAGCTCAGCGATGATGTCATACGTGACCGTGAGCTTGCTTCAGGCCTTGGACTCTCATTTTACTTAAACGAAAATAAACTATTGAAAAAAGAAGACGCAGGTAAAGGCAGCATATAGCACTGTCAAGGTCACTGTCTAGTCCACTGTCTGCGCGATATTGAAATTACCCCTGTGGAATCCGCTGCTCCTGTCCAGACAGGGCAATAGCCTAAACAAAGAGCTTTTCTTCCCCTTTTTTCTCTTTGATTCTGTGCAGGCAGGTTGCCACAGTTATAGCCTTGTGCGGACCTTTTAAAGCTTCCTTCAAGGAAAACAAACCACCAAGGGAAGCTTAAAAGAAGCCACTAAAGTGCTAACGTTTAACTTGAAGGTTTGGCTGATCTATTTCATTTGTTTACTGCAAACCACCTTTAAGTGTGGCTTCACTGACTCATATCCTCTCATGATAAACTCACAACAAGGATGTAACCCATTACACCAGACTGGATAGTGAAACATTTTTAAATATCAAATCTGTATCAATTCATGTTGTATATTTATCAGAAATGCCACCCGGTTAATACAGGTCCTCTCTTCAAATTACACATAGCAAAGTAGCAGTAAAAAACTTTATTAGAAATACCAGCATTTGAACTTGACGGTCAGTCTCAGTCAGCATTTATTAATTGGCTTTATTTTCATATTAAAGAGTGGCGTTTGTGCGCATGTGTGTATGCGTGTGTGTGCGATTAATACGCAATCAAGAAAATGAACTATAAACTGCTCATCCACTATATTTCCATTATTATTTTCTGAATTATTTATACTCTAGGAATTAATAAAATATTACCTCAAACTCGACGCCTCAGATATTTTTTCCAAATTTCTTTTCAATTTTTTTTATCATTATTTTTTTTATTATTTTTTTTAACAAAGACACTTTTCGATCAACTGCGCTGTCAAATGTCAAATTCACTTAATAAAGTTCTTAAATCCTGAAGTGCGAAAAAATTAAGAGAAAAAAATGAATAAATTAATACATGTAATAACTTAACGCTGGAGTCCATGGTTATCTTTACTGGTTACGTTCCCCCGACTGGTCATTTCCATATCATAGAGAGTATTATAGAACATCTATAAACACAATACCACAATACAGCACCATGACTGTAATATACGCAATATAAGTGTCACAACAATTTCTGCAGCAAACAGCAGTTCAAGATCATTCCCTCTGAGTCATAACTTATCTATGTGTGGGATCATCCAATAAGAGCAGGCCTAAAACTCACACAATTAAAGGAAAATTCTACATTAACACCTTAATCACTGCTAATTATTTATATCATAATAAATTATCAGATTGTTCGAATTAAAAAGCTAAAAAGAGATAAAAAGGGAGTCATATGACTGAAAAAATGAAAGAGAAGTGAAATCCTCTTGAATGAGAGTGACTGCAGCACCTCCTGATATTTTCCTCTGGTCACCACCAGAGGTTATCAGCCCCCTGTCTCATGTGTCTGCTCACAGCAGGCCTGCAGCTCACACGCCTCCTCCAAACACCACACAACCCCAATACAAACCCAGACACACTCCATATCTCCATTTTCAGACAAGAATACTCCTCCAAAAAGCTCGAAAGACTTCACTTTTAATTTCATTTTTATCATCCTAAAAAGTCACTTCCTGGTGTAGCGAGTGTGAAGTTAACCTTTGCCCGTCAGAGTAATGGTTAACTCAGTCATGTGGGTTTGTTTGATAAGTCAATGTTACACCCTAAAGAGAAAAAAAAAACATACTTTTTGAGTTTGATAATGCAAAACTCAGACGTAATTTTGTGATTCCAAAAATGTCACAATTGTCCAATCAACTATTTTGAATATGCATGAATTGATAGTTGAGTATGAAGTCATTTTATCGTCTTATACTAATTTAAACTTTGAATTAAACATAATTCAACATAATGAACAGGAAAAAAATACTTTTGAAAACAGCATGATGAGAGTTATGAGATTAGTATAATCCGCAATCACAGTGAGCGAAACACTTGTGCTCACTTTTTCTCTTTTATCAACTCCAATATAAATATATTTTTTTACAATTACTACAATTTCATGAATAAAAACTGCATGAATAAATAAATAAGCCATGTTAAGAGAAGTGTTATTTCCCCTAACTTCACCACCGCTCTGCGCTCTTACTTTAAAACAGATTATTACAGAAATAAGTACAATTCCGCCTGTCACTGCTCATATTTCCCTTTATATTTCTGTACTTTCTTTGGTTAAATTAGACATGATCACACCGTTGCACGTGGGCTATAAAGTCATAAAACAAAGTCCAAGAAGGCCTGCTGCCACCATGCTAGGAAGAAAACGCCCATACCTTGTATCGCTATATTGTGGGCGACGTCCTGTCATCATTTCCTCTCGCTGTGCACACACTATGGCTGCTGGTGTTGGTGTGAGACGTCAAAAGTCCTACCTGTCCTCCGTGGTCAATAACACACACCAACCTCATGACGAGTGCTTGAACCCATTGGTGGTTCCAGAGGAAACAAGTTTTAAAGGACTTCTGTAAAAAAATATATATATAATGACACAAAAGAGCAGCCCAAATGTCAGTGCAAAGCTCTGAGAGATGGTCAGAAATGCAGGTCAGAGGATATCGCTACACTTCCCCTTTTTTATGTATTTATGGCATGTCATTAAGCCCGGCTGTCTAGACAGGGAAATAACACCTTGTTTGCCTACAAACAAACCGCCGCCATTGGTGTCCAGCCCCCTATTTATTATTCACAATCTGCTGCGATGTCAAGGTCAAAGTGACTGCATAGTCATGGTCAAGGGTAAATGTGGACAGACAGAACCGTCCGCATGGATTGAAAATCCAGGAGACCACGCAGACAAACAAAAAGTTTCAGTCTGAGGGGGCTTGGATTCTACTCAACGAGTTCAAAAGATGTTAAGAGATGGAAAAAGTGACCAGAGTCCAGCAAACCAATGCTCCTATAGAAAGAGAGAGAGAGAGAAAGAGAGAGAGAGAGAGAGTCCCGCAAAAAGCAAAACTTTACGTGCTAACTTACAGAGGCATGATATCATAATAGAGAGTCAGAATTAGAGCAAAGTAAGGTTTCATTATTCTGCTCAGGACATGATCTTCTCATGCAGGAATAGACAGAAACACTCTCTACTTTTCTATATTTTAATCCGCTCCGCATTCATGTTTAGTCGGATCTAACTCTAAAATTACTGACTTGAAATGGACCACGTTTAAGAACATTAAAGTGAACCACCTGCAACTTTACATTTGTGCGTAAAGTCAGGATTTAATGCTATTTTCCACAAGTTTTCCTATTTTTATTTTCATCAAACCGCACAAGTCTAAGGTGAGAGTGTGACATTAAGGCCTTATAATTTACAAAGTGTCCGCATGTTTAAACCCGAACCCTCTCTGCTCATATGCATATGCAAAAAATAAATAATGTCACATGTAAACAAGTCATTCGTAAGCAAAACTGCAGATATTATATCCGCATTGCAGATATGCACCGACTTGCGCGCTCGGCGTGTCCGCGCGTGTGAATTCCTTCCATCACTTTCTGTTTATTAAAACTAAATAATGAGTAGACACACATGACGGATGAAAATATACACTGTAAGCCTTAAAGCGAAACTCACCTATGCAATGAAAGCGTTCACTCGGTACAGCATGATACAATTATAATCATAACACAAGCTGGAAGGGCGAGACTACGCTGGAATTAGTGTGCGCGCACATTGACGCAAAGATTCGCTTTCCCTTGATTAAAAAAATGCGAATTTGTAGTTTTCACGCTAAACATGAAGAGGAATTTACTGTGAATGTGTGAATACTACAGTATCTCCGCAGGACAGAGCCCGTTAGACTCTTATCTCGCGCGAACATTCGTGTCTTTACTAATATGAGAACATAAGTATAAGTTGAGTTTGGAAATGATTGGAATTATGTACCTTGGTAACCCAGAAAATAGTTTTGTGACAGCTGAAGTGGTTATAAATTCGTTTTCTTTTAAGAGACAGACAGTTGAACCTCAGCCAAGTAAAAGCTCATAAATATATATTTGGTGTTAACGTTGATTAAAATGCGGAGGAAGGTGGAGGTATAAGAATCAGGCGCTGCTTTCTCTCCATCGACTTTATATTCGTCCCTTGAACTGATCAATTTCAAAGATCTATCCCTGCTAGATTGGATAGGAAAGTCCTATCTGGGGAAAGAATTAAGTCAAATTATCAGGGTTTAATCTGTGCCGGAATATCCGGGCTGCTCAGTGGCCTTGCGCACTGACTGAATCATCTCCTGGTGCCATTAAGGCTCCAGGATGCCCAATAAGTCTTAATCAAGCACTTTGCAACATGAAATCCTCACTCATCCATCCGCTCATGCTGCTGCTGCTGCTGCTGCAGACTAAAGTCTAAGAGGAAAGGCGACAGCAGTCAGAGCTGCTGCTTTTTAATGACACCAATGTAACATGAAACGAAAGGAAATGCTGCAACGCTTGATTGACTTGAATATTAAAGCATTTTCATAATCATCATTTATTTATGAAACACGTTACCAGGACGTAATTCAACACCACAATACAGTTCACATACTGCACGAAAGTAGAAATTACAGGCTCCGTACAAGGCGCATGATCAGCTGCAACGCTACACTAGCTAAGACAAAAGAAAATCAAATCAACGATTGTGCATTTCTGTGTAATACTCACTGACTTTAATGGTTTACAATCATTCCAGTTGCATGACAGAGTCCTTCACTGACAAAGGAAAACATACAAGTGTTGGGGTATTCCAGTTTACAGTTCCGCCATACTAGATAATATGAATTAAATAATAAAAGGCATTGCACTATACAGATTAACAACATAGCAGCCTTTGTTTTCGCCCAGGCTTAAGAGAACAAATCCCACACAGAGAAACATAGCTTTTTGAAATTCAGAAGGAATATTTAAAAACAAAAAGATTCGTTCCCTTGAAAGTCTTTGTGAGCTTTTCAATGAAGTCTCAAGTTCAACCGCATCATCATCATCATGCCACACATCATGTCCATATGGCGATTATCGCTCTGAAATGACACCAGACGAAATCTTCTGCTGTGATTTGATCCGTCCGCTGCGAAGCCTTCGAAATGTCAACAGCTCATTTGTGAGATTTGGTTTAAAAAATAAAAACAATTAAAGTAAAAGAAAAAAAAAACACGCAATACTTGTCTTTGAAATACAGATATCGTTTTAAATATTATATATTTATATATGTACATTCATACAAAACAAATGTGGAGTGAAATTTTCAATATTTTCACAGTTTTTAGAGTATTTTCTGTAAATTGAAAACAGGGGCATGTTGTGGCATGGTCGAGGGAAGAGGATGGAAGTTAAATAAGAATAATAAAAAAAAACACTCAGCCAAAATGTTCTTCAGCCACGATTTTCGATGCAAGAGGTAAATATATGGCGTGCTGTTTTTTTGGAAGGTATGAGTTGAGTTTGATGGAGGTCGCTGATCGTATCAAGTGGTGTGCATGTGATTGCCTTTGGATTTACTGACAAATTTCTTCTCCTTGACCCGTCGGTTTTGGAACCAGATGGTGACTTGGCGCTCTGAGAGGTTGGTGGCGGCCGAGATGCGCCTTCTCTTGTCTTTGGTGATGAACTTGCTGGCAGCATATTCTTTCTCCAGCTCCTTCAGCTGGATCTTGGTGTAAGGGACGCGCTTTTTACGCCCTCGACGGTAGCTGCTGACTTCAGGCTGCAGTGGCACGACATCTGGGAGAGGAAAAGGAATATGTGGGCAAAAGTGTTAGGCGATGCGTAAAAACACAGAGATGATTCATGTCTTTATCTCGCAAAATCTGTGCACGACTTTTTTTTTCTATTTCCAAAACGAGGTCAACAATTTTCTGATTTGTGTGTGTGTGTGTGTGTGTGTGTGTGTGTGTGTGTGTGTGTGTGTGTGTGTGTGTGTGTGTGTGTGTGTGTGTGTGTGTGTAGTAATGGAGGATATGGGGGGTGTCACGACAAAAATTAGTTGCAGTCAGGATCTCAGGTGTGCTGCACCTGACGTACAGGGACGCAATAATTACATCGACTGTCCACAGTTTCCACTATGTCACGAATATTTGCTCCGCTTGTTTTGCAAGGTGGCCAAAACAAAACAAAGGCTCGTTCTGTGAATGGACTTTCAATGTCAAGTCGCAGCTGCAACAATAGTGCACTGTTTTCACTGGCAAGTGATCAGTGTTTTTTCTCTATACTCTATGTCAATATCCGCTGGTCGGAAATATCTACGAAACAAACACGTCTGATTGGGTCTTCGTCGTGTTTTAACCTCAGATTAAGTCTGCCTAAAACTATACATGTCTACTCTGAGTGAAACACTTAATTCAGTACACGTACACAGTATAGGAAAAGTTCAATCACATTATAGCAACTCGACGTGAAAACTGTGGGGCTATGAGAAATCACAAGTTGCGCAAATTGGTTCACAATTTCAAAACACCGCACTAAATTTTCCTCACAAATTCACGTTTTTTTCAATTACGTGTAATCAAATCATTTATTAGTGAAGGTTTAAGACGTATGAGCAGGGTAAGCTTTACTCATTTAGCAGAGTTCAGGGATTGCACCCATGGAGCCAATGAGAGACATGACAGGACAAGTATGGCAATACCATGAGAAAATGTGGCAAGCAGTGAGACACTGAGGTTTTTACCACTATGTTATTTTAACAGCAGGGCTGTGGGTGTAAGACTACAGTTGTTTGTAATTTGGGGAAGAGGATATTGAAACGTTACCTCCTTGATATCATCTTTATAAATGTGCATTCAAACCTGAGTGGACGCCACTCTTCCAAATTTAAGCCACATTCTTAAATATGATGGTTTTTGTGCGTCTGTTGAAGTGAATGAATTTCTATGTAGGTAATTTTCTATGTAAACCGACACATATAGACATGGACAGCGCGCGCTTGTGTTTTGTGCATGTGCACGCGCAAATGACAGCGCGCCCGTGCTTGCGTGGCTTGACTCTTGTGTATTTTCAGCATACGTTCTGAGAGAGGACGTGCTGGTGGGTGAGATGTCCAGTCGGGGACACCCCCCTATGTAAGATCAAAATACCTAAAGATCTCACAAAGATAATAGAGCCTCGCGGTAACAGGGCCAGTCCAGTAAACACTCTGTAAAGCGCATTCTGTCCGGGCCCCAGCCTCTATTATCAGATTATCCTGCATGGTGTATGCTAGTGTGTGAAGCAAATGTCAAGCTTGGATAATAAGGTGAAGTAATCAGTGGTTGAGGGTGTTTGTTTATCATGGTGCTGAGGTCTGTATGCTGTATGAACTGTATGGAAAAACCTGTGAACAGATAGTAGGGCGCACAGATTTATTGGGAGAATCTAAACACTGAAGGCTAGCTTAGTCACTGTATTGTCAAAACAGGGGGCAAAGGTATGCTCTGCAGTTCTTTTCTATTTTACGTCTCTGACAGTGACCTTATATGATCATATGACTACAAAGAAAAAAAAAACAAATTCACCCCGTCATGAACATTTCAAACAAATCCTCAAACACACAAATCTGTAATTTTTTAGGCACATGCAAACTATAGGTTGATTTATTTCATGTCAAACAAAAACATCTATATCTGTGTTTAAGGAGAATGAGAGACATCTAGGATTACTGTCATGGGGTCACTGTTTAGTTTCCCTGCACTTCTATGTAAACTGATATTTGGCACTTTAGCACTATAAAATTCATGGACTAAGCAGTAACATTCAAGCAGAGTAAAAATATCTGGCTACATTTAAATAGCTTTCTTAATGTGATGACACAGGTATTAAACGCCTACAAGCTGCTGCACAAACACATAAATTCCAGCATGCTAAAGACAGGGCAAAAATCAAATCAAATATTATTACCTGGAAAAGGTGATTTCCACAGATGAGTGGACTGTGTTTGCTCCTTGGAGCAGTACACCTGCCCATCCCAGCCATTGGAGAGAGCCCAGTGCTGGTAGCCCTCCATGGGGATCAGGGCGTCGTGCCGCGGTTCAGGATGGGCACTGATACCGGGCACCACGGACACGTCGAGATATCCTGGAACAGCCTGATATGAGCTGGCGAAACTCGGGTAGAAGGCAAACTCTTTGGCCCTAGTAGACAGTTCTTCCGTGGGCAGCGCTGTGCTGGGCTCGGCATATTTCTCTGCGGGATGGTACGAGCAGGGTTTCTGCTGCAAGTTCACGTTGTGCGAGTGGGATAATCTACAGCCGTAATAAGGGTTTCCAAAGGGATAACCGTAGCTCAAAGACGCGCTGGATGAAGTTTGAGGAGCTGGACACTGCCGGCCGGTGTCCGGAGAGGAAATATCCGAGTAGACGGAGCCCTGGTGGGTCGCTATGGTGCCAGAATGTCGTCCCAGTGCGGGGTGCGACATCAGGTCCCTGCAGTGGGTCGCAGGGCAATTACCGCTTAGTCCCTCCATTGTTTGGCTTTTATTCTGGTTGTTTTCATTCGGGCTTTTTTCATAAACGTACATCAAGGTGTCCGCCCAGCGTGGATGCAGAACCAGCGAAGTCGTCATATCAGGGGCTGCCGATGCTTTTTAAAAGTCGACTACTCCAAGACGGACACCTCATTTCCAACTACATTTTACACCACGCGCATGCGCACACGAGGCCCTCGTGTGTCCACTTCATTAAGAAGCTGGCACGTGATACGCTAACAAGTCCTACGAGATTGGGCTTGTGAGTTGGGGCAGAGCAGCCCTTTAAAGACCCACTGCCTCACATGTCTCAGTTTTTTCCTGCAGAGCAGCGAGTGCTGTCATTGGCTCAGAGCACGCAGACCCACACCCTTAAAGGGGAGTTCGGAGACTTCAGGATTGGGGCAAACGAAAACAACCTGTGAAATTTTGCCGACCCTGAGAATTGCTGGAGAATATTACAGCATATGACACATGCCACATATGATAGAAGGGAATAAAAAATATATGTATTCAAGGTGAAGCCTTATTTATTGATTATTGCGCAGTGACGCATTGCGCAACCTTTGTCTTTTACTTGGTGCAGGAGAAATGTTGCTGCTGAAGTTTACTTTATCAGATGAAATAATGCACAGAGATGTTTCAGCTGTAATTCCTCATTTGTACATTTTTCATTATTATTTAACCGTCAAAAAATGCTGTAAATGCAAATATAGAAATATAAACCGCATATTTTACCAAGACTCCTTTTCTTAAGGACGCATTTCCTTTAAATCCGTATATAAATGTCACCGGGTCACCTATTAACATGCTGAGATGAGATTCTGTGACCAAACCTAGTGGTGGAGCACTGCTGCTCCAGCGGGGGATAAAATAAATGTTTATTGATGATATTTCCTTTGAGTATTTTCACATAATTCCTGCAAATGATCACCTTTTCTATGTGATTTATTTCTATCCAAACTCTTGAGCCAAAAAAAAAGAGTCATTTGATATCTCCAGGATGTATGAGTGTGTCCTGTCCGAGTGTGAATGTGACTTGGACTCATCTGGGTGTGATAAGCACAAGCAGGAGTTTAATTCTGAGCAAAGATGAATGTAGTTGCACGTCCACAGCGACAGCCACATGCAGGATGAAGTAAAAGCTAAACAGGTAAGCTGCTGCCATTGCAAACTATCTCCTAGTTTATAGTGTATGTTTAATGTTTTAAGATATAATTACAGTAATTATCTCAATGAGCGGACGCGTTGTTTAATTTGTACACACTGTTTCCGCATTATATACAGACGCGTAACTGGTCCGTCACGTTATGTTAACAAATATCTCAGCGATAACGTGACAATAGAGAATTACAAATAATCGAATGAAGGTGCTGGTTTAGTTTTATTAGGCTTTTTTATATACAAAGCATACAAGTGGATGGTGACACAGCAAGGAGAAAAAAAGAAAAAGAAGGTCCGGCTTCGAGGTGACTGTGTGTGTAAACTCCAGATCTTGTTTAATTAGACAGCATGGTAGAAATGCGGACCTATTCCCCCACAGAAACCTTCCTCCGCCACTTTTTCACACGTGTCTTTCTCCTGCAAAGCTCCCTAAAGCTCTATTTCAAATCCAAGACTACTTTTTTGGTTCACCAGGCCCTTAAGTTTCAGCACTAGCGGAAATCCTCTTTTCCTTTTCTCTGCTCTTTAAAAGTTCTTCACGATTAATGTTTAACACTTATATCTGATTTTGAAATATCACCGATGGGATAGGCCCTGAAAGTTTCCATTAAAGAGACTGGCGATGCCTATCCCATGAGTCACCCATAAAACAGGCTACAAGCTGCCCTACGAAGGGTGCCTAGTTTATCAACATTTTTTGCACTCCTCAGTAGCTCTGGGGATAATCAGGCCACCCTTGAGTATTTGTGTACTAAGGAAAGCTAGTGTCCTGTCCTTCCTCGGACCGGGACTGGAGTTCTTTTGTCTCAAGGAAATTACAACTACTAAGGGCTCATCCAAACGGCAGCTGCACGGAAGTCCAAGGTCAAGGTAAAAAAACGCAGACAAACAGGGTCGTAATGAGAGTCTAGACAGACAAGAATGAACTTCACACTAGAGCATGCATGCAAACTAGTAGTTATTTAGAGACCCTCACTCTAAAATATTTGCTGTGTGTGAAGAGGAAGAGGAGTTCAAATAATGCCTGGCGTTTTTTTGGTTTAAAGGAGCAGGAATTTGACAACTTTTGCGCTTCAGGAAACCGGCTCATTCCAAAGTGACATTGTTTCCATTCAAGCTCACACTGCTGCTGAGGGCTTCTTTTTTTATTATCCACGAGTGACAGAATGTAAGCAGCCAGACTGATATGTTCAGAATCAAACAAATTTGTAATTCATCCCAAAATGTTTGGAGATTGTGTAAATAGTCTGCCCAGAGTAACACACGCGTGATGGAGCGTTGATCAGATAGAGGATTAATAAAGTTGTGAAATTTAGTAGAAAAAAAGCATCATCTGATGTAGTCACACTTTGTTGTAATAAGAATAAATCTCAGGTATAGTCTGCCTATAGTTGCTCCAAAACTGGATTTTTCCATAATGAAAATTCCAGGAGAAAATGAAAAACAAAATAAAGTAAAAACACGATACACACACTTGTATGGTAGATAAATTGTCCTCCAACTTTTAAAAGAACTAAAACCGAATTTAGCAGCAACATGATACCAAATAAAACAAATCTTATTTTAAAGATTTTAAGCGTAAGGCGTAATCTCACTTGCGCAAACTGTCCAATGACGCAGCAGCATACCAAAATTAGTAACTCGGCGTTATAATAAACTAGAATCAAACACACACCCTGCTCAAAATTACAGGCGAGGAATCCTGACAGAATTAAAAAAATTCAGTTTTTCATTTTTAAAGCTCTCCCAGGAGTGAAGCAAGTACAGACAGGTGAATCTCTGAAAGATGAAAGCTTCTATTTTAACTTTCGCATCAAGTTTACGCACAAATTCAATGTTCGAACGCATCTTCTTCCATTGACTCTTTACGTTTTCATACTATTTTTGAGAGCCATGAAGTATTTAAACTGGAATTCGTGCAGGTAATCCACCCTAAACCTTCACCCTTAATATTTGCGGTTAAAATGTTATTATATATTTAAATGTGCAAACCTAGTCAGGGTTTAGGCTGTTTTCAAACTCCAAAAACTCGACCATCAATAAGTAGCTATTTGTAAAGAGTGTTAATTCTGTTGTGTAGCCTATCGCAGTTACTCAAAAAATGCCAAGGCCAAATAAATTTTCCAAAACAGCTGAGCAAAATGCAAATAAACCGTTCCTGAATACCAGCATTTATCTCAAATCCTAAAGGTAAATATATCAACACCATCCAGAACCCTGCAGGAGTCAGTTTTGGTAAATTCAAAGTGTTTGAAACTTCAAGGGAGGAGGCTGTTTTTCACCACAAACAGTTTTCCTGCAAAACATCACATTCCTTTAACAATTATTCCTCCACTGCTAATTTGAAAAAAAAAAAAACTTCAAAGCGCTCAGCAGTGAACTGTAAAATACATCTTCTGCACTGCGGTTTCACTTATTTCAGGATCTGTTAATAGAAACCACCACCAATAACTTGACAAGCGGCCATGATGTGCTGCTGTAAATATCTTGACAAGCAGACATCACGTCCTTGCAGACAGGCCCTGTCAGACAGAGAGAGAGCCCGTCTGATGCAGAGCTCTGTGGGGGAGGGGAGAGAGAGAGAGCCTCCATCTCCATTACGAACACTGTCTACCTGCGGCTTCCGCTCTCAGGAACTGACTGTGGGAGCCCACGAGAGAGCCAGTGGATCTTATGTAAGCACAATATGCAGTTATGTACCCCCAGAAGATGTCAAGTTGGGCTATTTTCATCTTGCTGCATTTACAGGCAGCACACTTCCATGTAATCTTCCCAGGCACAACAGCGTATCAGGCTTGTAAGAAATGTTTGACACATTTGACTAATATGCAAAAATCGAAACAAGTTGAGTTATCAAATTATTCTGATTTTCCTCGCCTTGATTTAGGTGAGCAGTGTTGGCAGCATTCCTGCAGTGCAGTCAGTCCATGCAAACAACTTTCCGACCAAGATTCATTCTTCTTAAAGTTTATTTAGCTCAAACAGACTAAACATATAGATACATATTTTTAAAAAACAACTGAAATGTTCTCTCACCGGTCCTGAAAGTGATGGTAATCCCTGTGCGTAAAAAAGTCTTTGTACAGTTGATGTAGCGATCCAGAATGGAGAGACAGCTCGCAGGTAGAGAGCGCGCGATGCATGCTCAAATCAGGCTGCGTTTATGTTTACGAGTGACCAGCCTGATTCAGACTTAGCTTTCAGATCAAACCATTATTGTGGACAAAATTAACCAATTCTGTATGTGACTGGAACACTATGGATGAATCACACACTGTAACAGCATACAGGGGCCAACGAGTGCGCTCTCAAAGGAGGAAACGAAGATGATTTTAGTAAATGAACATGTCAAACTCACTGGAATAAACTTCGGACCCTCTGAGTGTCTGAGCTAATTAAATGGACCAAATTCTGACTGCACATAAATCTCACTGTAAATCAAGACTAATGTTCATTTGGAAGTTGCGCGTGAGTCACGAGCTCCGGGGTCTGACGCTTTACACGTATTTTGCATCAAGGCTCGTGTTAATGCAACATTTTCCTGAGAGACTGTGAACGCTTGCTTCGTTTTAGAAGTTTATCTCTCTTGTGTTAGCCCCATGTTTGTTTGTGTGTGTGTGTATGTGTGCGCGTGCGTGAATGCATACATGTGTGTGTGTGTGTCTGAGTGGAAAGACTTCTTTGAATAGAAATTTTTAATTGAGACAGAGAAAGAGAGCTGTTGTTCTGCAGAGATTTCCAGCACTTGACTATCATGAAAACATTCCCACAAAACTAAAACCGTCTCAATCCGCTGTTTTCCTGTCTGTACTCAGGACCGTTTTTAATTTGCGATGAAAAATGTTCATAATTGTTGAAGCCAAGACCGCTGAGTGTCTGTGCCAACAACATGGCACAAGAAAGCATGTGATTTTGTCAAGAAAACATTGGTCTAA